GACAATAGGAAGTCTTCTGGAACTTGTACGCGGCCGCTAGCGATATTGCCAGAATATTCGTCGGCACATACATAAATGCCGACGCGCGTCACCGCTGGTAAGTTAATCAACGGCCGCCGCTCTGCCCGCCGCTATCAATGTCAGTGCCTATCACTGTAATCATCTTTTCCTTGACCGGCCACAAGTTCGGCCAAATAAACAGTTTCATCTTCGACATACAGTCTGCTAATAAAGTTGTTTACTACTATTGCATACAGTTGCTGCTTTCATCAACCGCACGACCACGTGACAATACGTTAATGAAGGACACAGAAATCGGAGGGCTCGGGAACTTTCGACCCCCAGTCATAGAGTAACACAAAAATTACAAGAGTGGTCACTCGGGCCAAAAGCGGCGGAGCTACGACACAGCTTCACGCCAGCCGCAAGATGGCAGCACATCCCTCACTGCTTAAAGGTAACACGTGTACTGGTTATTTACTACGGTACCTTTCCTAGTGCATTATACGTCAACGCCTTCTAGAAAATATAGGAGGCATTGTATACGTCTGCGTGATTTTGCGACTGTGATTGTGGCCGCAATCTGTCTTTATCGTATGCGATTGTGTGGTGCGAGGCCTAGATCTTATGCGAGAGGAGTGCACAAGGCGTCGACGTGATGGCAGCGTTGTTACGCTCCGTGTTCATTAGCATTTAGGGCGACGAAGAAGTACGGGCAGCAGAAGGGAGATGTCCTAAAATATGTGCGATAACGTGCCCGGCGTGCGTCGTGGTCTTCGCTTGTTTCGCCTGCCTCTCAGTTTGGCTGCTGCTAGGTACGAACGCCATCAATACTTTGTTAAGTGCGTATTGAATTTGTCGTTGAAGCCTAAACCTAACATTTCTGGCATTATGCTGTTCGGTGCTGTAATCTTTTTTGTGCTCTTCACTTCGTGTACTGTTTTCGGGGATTGCTTCGCACGAAAGAAAACTGTTTGGAATGCTTCGCAGCACGTTTGCGAGGAAATTGTTTCCTGGCTCAAGAAATTGAGTCACCGCTCGCGTTGTTAGGTTTTTTTGTACCACTATACATGTATTCTAATTAACTGCGTGCATGAGATTTTGTGAAAAGTATTGTTATTTGTGCCGTTCGAAAATTGCTTAAAGCTCTAACGAGCGCAATGAGAGAGAAGTGGTGAATCTAGAAAAATGTTTGTTAGCTACAGCTAGGACATAATCTTCTGCCTCGTAAACAGCTTTCATGACACCTAAAATTGCTTTGTTTTTGCTTCGGCAACTGCTTGTGACGGTTTTTCGCGAGGGAGCAATGCAAAGCGTGTAGGAGAAAATTGGTTTGAAGGTGGGAAAGAAAACGTAGCCTGCATTTTTTTCTATTTTCGTTCCATGCCGGAGTGAAGTACTGAGACGACTACTGACGTGTCGCGTTGTGCACTGTATGCGTAGTTGTGTGCGATTATTGCTGTTTTACTCATCTGTGGGTCTTCTTATATCGACGCCTATATGCTTATTTTCCGTGTTTAATTTATAATCATGATATATGGCAGCTGTATTCTAGCGTCTCGCAGTGCAATTAACCTCTCTTTGTGCCTGCATTTATCAAACATTAACCAAGTGGGCATGTGCTTACCAGGAATTTCAATTGAAAATAAAAATTGTCACTCCTCCAATGATTTTCATGTTTTGATTAAAATGTGTGCATAGACACACATCGGCATCGTGTGCTTGCCGCTCTAGCGGTGGAGCTTACACGAAGCTCATCGATGCATGCAAACGAGGCGTTAAAGAAAATTAAAGTATGGCCTCAGAGACGAGCACGTACCTAGAAGTGTTCTCGGAGGCTGTATAAAATCCCTAGCCCCCACAATATGACCTTCGAGACACCCTTTTCTGTAGTCTTCGATCTCTGAGGTTGCAAAGGTTTCCAACGACCATTTGGAACGCTGAAAACTTAAATCAGCCGCAGGGGCCTATGGGAGTGCCCTCTCTTAACTTTATATGTTACTCTATGCTCCTGGTTCGTTTAACAGGCGCCTGAACGTAAGCACAGGAGCGTCCCTCTAGAAACATCCTTTCCCGTTAGTTTTGTTTAGAGGCCTTTTAATAGTTGGAGATAGGTTAGGTTAGGCTTGACCCACAGGTGGTCAAAAATTTATGCGGTTTTTCTCGACTACACGAAACGCCTCGCACTAATATAATAGCTTTGGCATTTAATCAGAATCGAAACGGAACTCTAATGTAGATTATTTTCTTCGACGTGCTGTGGGAAATAAATTAAAAAAAAACTCTCTTCTGTGCTACGGCTATGCTTGTTTAATTTAACGTATTAACAAGTCCTAGCGCTCGCACACGTTTCTTGTGGTCGCGACACGATTTCCCAAATCCACTTTTGGTACGAGTAAATTGATTCAAAGTTTTTCTGACACGAAAAATTAGCGAATCAGTGTTTTCATAATTTCTGCCGATCGGCGTTTTACGAAAAATGTGTTACACAACGGAATATTACGTAAACGTTGCCATAACAGGCATTTTTCGTAAGCTTTAAGCGCAATAGCAACAAAAAAAAAAGCAAGCTCTTTGGTATTGGCCAAGTCTATATAGTGGCGGCGTACATTCAGAATTATCGTGTGACCTTTAAATTGAAGAATAAGTTTGGTGCGGGACGTGTAAGAATGCACGGACCACAGGAGAAGGGTTAACTCGTAACTATCTTTATCAAAACAAACAAAGCGGAATTTCTAACAAGTATGAAGTGTAGAACCACCATTCGCGAGCGCACTGAAGCACATACACACTCATAAAAAATGCCGAATGCAAAGTAGGACATTTAATTTAATTTTCTCCCTTCGTTGCGCAACACCACAGCAATATCACTGACACAATCGCTTCGTTTTTCGTTTTCGTATATGATACGCTTCCATGATGTATCTGGCCGCCAAATTCCAGCTCTTGCCCCAAAACTGAACCGTACAGATTGATTCAGGGTCGGACGCTGAAGGATACGCTTTTGTCGGCTGATTAATCGCTCGTCTCTGTAGATTACGAGGTTCCCGTATCAGTCCGGACGACCACTGGCTATAGCTGGCTTGCCCGTGGCAACGCTTCCGTGATTTATATATCCCCTGATGCGTGAACCACGCTGTTGTGGTTTTTTTTCAAAGGAAATTCGCGGGTGGCTCCTTAGATTGTTCGATAATTTATTACAGCTTACCCCTTCACATACGTCAAGAATTTCTGGTAGAGGATAATTCTTCAATGCAGTATAAAAAAGAAGAAATATTGGCGAAAATTGTTCCCAGGGGTCCCACTTTCACAATATATCTCCTGTATTTTGTTATCTTTGTGCGTAAATTATTTATTATGAATAGCAAACTTTTTAAGAGTCTCCTGTAATACTGATGCTGCACCACTTTGATACACTCAGAGTAGGCTTCTTTAGTATAGCGTTCGAAAAAAAAAACAAAGAAAACAGACAGACAGAAAAACAACTTTATTTTCATCCTGAGAGGTCAGGCAGTAGGCGAATTAAGCAGGTCCCCACCCAGCTGTCGCCAAGGCTCATTTCGGACCAGAGGCCATGCCTCTCAGCACGTTCACAGGCCCTGGGCTTGTCTGGGGTCTGTGATTGCCGTCGTCCAGTCCACTTCTCGGTTAAAATTTTGTAACGCAGGGCAAAAAAAAAACAACAAAAAAACACCTTCCGGCCCAGGCCATGAATTTGCTAGAGTTTTTAATGAAGTTGTTACCACCATCACAGTTGGCGCCTGTAGGACAAAAGTGCTTACTTTCTTTATTTTTGTCCCACCTTACGGTGACACCGGGCCTCGCCCGGAACACTGTTTCTAAATGAACGTTATTTCTCTCTGTCTTTCATTTTGTCATTGTAGTGGCCGCGTGTATTCAGGCAAACATGTCAGTCTAGTAGCATTTTTAGCAGTAAATACATCTTAAATGGATGCTCATAGCAATTTTTCGAAGCTGAGCTTACTCCACCGTACAGATCTCCTGTATGCAGAGGCGGCTCTTGGAAAGTGTGAAGCCCACGAAATGCCGATAGCGCATTTTATTTTTACATTCAAGTGAACTTTAGCGTAGCGCACCTACCGACATCGACACTAGCGCGACGTGAAGCGTAGCGTAAGTCCTGGTGACTTCAGGCGCCAGTAGTATGGCTATAGTTGTGATGACGTTACGTAACCGAAACATACAAAATGGCCGCCTGTGCGTCGCCGGCAAGGCCGCAGAGAGGCGCTGTTGCGGCTTTGGCGCTAAGGTCCCTCCATAATAATTTATTTAGGGACTTTATTTGGCGCATGCGTGAACTCTCCCATCATAGGCGCCACTAAAACCGGAATGTAGTGGAGCATGTACATTCATTTTCCGCCGTTTTCTTCCGGCTGACGGCCGGAGGAAATCGGAAGAAAACGGGACCGATAGATACCCCGATAGTGCTCCCGTGGTTGATGAAAAAGTGTGACGCAGGCAAGGAGCATTTCTAGTGAAGCAAAAATAACCTTAATCGCCACACATGTTCCATCTTGGGTATTGTTATGACATTGTGTAAGCTTTCGAAAGATGAATGAACCTGTTTTCTAGATACTTAAAACCAATGTCGGCACACGCGCGGTCTCCCCACAATGATCTCTCCTTTGTTTTTTTCCCTCTCCTCCCCACCTTTTTTAGTACTTTTAAAAAAATAAATCAGTTGTTAGACTCGCTTCGTATGTGTCGTCCTTCTTATCGGTCTTTCGAGCCTATAGCAGCCCTGCCTATGGTGCAGGTGGGAACATGAAAATCCTTCGGTGAGCGTGTCTTACAGCACGTTGAACTGATGACGGGACTACGAAATCGCAAAAGAAAGTAAAAAGTAAAAACAGAATGGCACTAATCTTTTTCTCATAATCGCGGCACGTTGCTCGTTCGGTACGAACCGTCTCGTCAGCGAAAAAAACGTTTTACGTCATATCACGTGTTCGGATAACACGTGGCAGTGTTCAGGCACGTTGGCAGTGGTGGATGATTGTAGGGCGTTTGTTCTTTTCCGATTGAAAAAAAAATGGCGGGGGCGATCACTGCACATACTGCGTTCTGGCGAAGTTCTCGTGAAGCTTACCGCTAACGGCTCCACCGAGACTGAAAGTGCTGCACCTGAGGTAAGCGCTAAACGCCCGACGTGTCGGCGTAAGATCTTTTTTTTTTTTTCGTCGGTTTCTGTTTTCTAGAAGGTTTTTCGCTAGCCCTCGTTCTCGTGTTTCAACGCGAAGTGGCCGCAGATGGCAAGGCAGAGGATTAAGTTCATACCGACGCAGTTTCATTAAGCAACTCCTCCGTCGAACGAATTGTGAATTTCGGTTAGGCGCGGTGCGAGTTGCTTTACGCAAAAAAAAAGTGAGCTTTTTGCACGTCACATTCGACGTTTGAAGTTACCCTGGAATGCCTACGGCAAGTAGGCAGTTGCGAAGCGCCCACAACGTCGTAACTCTTCGTCCTGCGAATCAGTGACAGGCCCGCCGTCCGTAAAGCGACACGCGCACCTGCACGCTTTGTTAACGCCGTTGTTGGTAATGCTATTTAGTTATGCCTGTTCGCCGTGAAATTAGTTAACCTTTATACCGAGCAAACTTAACGCGAATTATCACGCGTTTTGACGCCTGGTGTGATTATACGCTTGTACTACGCAATATAGTTACATGCGTTATGAGGAGGCTCATCGTGCTACCCGATATTCATATAGTGTTTTTTTCCCCCCGAAACCGTTCCAAGCCCCGCCATGGCTTCGTGGTAGAACGCCTGTTTGCCACACAGAAGTCCTTGATTCAATTCCCACTCGAACCGAGGATTCTTATTTACTTAGTTGCATCTGCCCCGCTTTTTTCGTTTCCGGATAACGCCCATTTTTTCCGCTCAACCAGTGACGCCGGCACTGAAATTCCTGCGAAACCAGCTTTTTAACGTTGTCGCGTTTAATTTCCTTTCAGGCACTGTACTCGAGGTCATAGAACATCAAGAAAATTTTCACTGGTTTTTTTCGATTACTCGCGAAGATGATTGTTTCCGATTACTTATTGTGGACGCACATGCATGCAAGTACAGTCGGTGCGAAAAGTGTACAGGGACTGGTACGTCTGAGAAAACGTCATAATTCGCTGCGATTTGTGACTGTATTCGGCCTAGGCGCACAGTACACATGTTGGCACATTTTAGAGCAGACCGTGAATCTGAAATGAATGCTTTCTACCTAAGCAGCGCGATTGTGCACCTTTTGCCGTCTCATCGTGGTCCATAGAACTTTAGGGCTGACTGTATTTTATAACCAGTTCCACGAACACTACTTTAATTCACAGACACGCCCCGCCACGGTGGTCTAGTGGCTAAGGTACTCGTCTGCTGACCCGTAGGTCGCGGGATCGAATCCCGGCTGCATTTCCGATGGTGGCGGAAATGTTGTAGGGCCGTGTGCTCAGATTTGGGTGCACGTTAAAGAACACCAGGTGGTCGAAATTTCCGGAGCCCTCCACTACGGCGTCTCTCATAATCACATGGTGCGCGTATACGTGCAGTCGAGCTATTTCAGATTTCTTCAGCTTGACCACCTTGAAATCGAACAATATGCCGCGGCTGAATCTTTCGTGCAAGACGACGTGCGTGCTTCGTGCAGCTCGTTACGTCATACACGACGTGGTAAAAAGTTGGCCGCCATTGGCCTATAGCGAGCTATTTCTATGACTTATTTTGTACTGCGATATTATTTGACTGTGCGTTCTTCATATATGCCTAGATGCAATGAATCCTCTATTTCTAGTTTCCGCTGACAACCTGGTATTGTTGGGTGACTGTGTAATGGGGCTCTGTAACAGTAAGTGTTCGTTGAAGTAACTAGTACCGGGTGCGGGTTCGACGTAATGACTGATAGGTTACGTGACTACCTGGAGATGTTCAATTCTGGCCACATCATCGTAATGATGAATAGAGAGGTTCATTTAAAACTTGCAGCAAGAACTTGCCGAAAAGCTCGTCTGTTCCGTTTCGACAGTGATGCCCCCCGTCCCCTCAATGGAACGCCCTTTCCATTTTATTACGGGCTGTCACCTTCTTCACAGCGATTCATGGACAGAACTTAAAAAAAAAAAGACGGTGCCTTGAAAAATCAAGTTTCAAAAGAGAAGTGATGCTTACTTAAGTTGACCGATTCCTCCATGCAAAGTAAGCACCGCTTCCAACTGGTACTTCTGAGGATAGCTTTCCGTAATGTAGTAAAGCACTCCGGCCACTGTCAATACGGGTTTTCATTTTTGGGGAGCCTGTTTATCTGCGGCGTTCGATAGCACTCCTTTTTCAGCCGTCTCTTTTCCCTGCGAGTAATGCCTGCTCCAGCGGTGTCAGTGAACCACTTTCGCGGTCTGTTCGATCGACGTCATTGTCCACTGTGACCTAGGGAAGCTAAGCAGTGGCGCGTATTCCACTGCACTTGCGCGGGGCGGTTCTTGCACCCGATGCGGCGTGCGAAACATAATGGAATGAATTGCGAGTGTCGGTTCGCTTGAGCGATAATGTCTTCGGCGTGTATCGGTTTCATCGCGCCGCCTTTTTTTCTCATAACCAGCTATTGTTCGTTTACGCTTCCAGGTTTCGTAAATTTGCTTTTTCCGGCCCAAGTTACGTCTGCTTCGTCTGGCATGCCCTGTCAGAACGCATGGTGAGGGAATGCCCCCCAAGAAACGCGAAACGATTGTCTGCCGGCCTCAAGTGTCGTCTGCTTCGTTGACCATGTGCCCGAAACTCGACGCTCTTCTTTGATCTGTCTGCAATTGTATGGAGTTATAGCTTTACGGTGACGTCATTGAAAGAGTAATACCGTGACATTGACCCTATGTATCGAGTGTTTTAATTTTTTTTTTTACTATTTCGCGGTGGGCATATGCTCAGTGCGAAGGTCGTCCATAGGTCCTCTGCGTATACATTGTCGAGCCTTTTTTTTTTAATGACGGGTTGCGAGGAACCAATGACCCCCTTGTTTGCTCGTCACTTCGCAGTTACGACATGCATGGCGCGCGAAATCATTGTGAAGAGACGAACGTGTGGTATTGAATAAGTGTAACTGTGTCGAAAGACCTTGGAGTGTTGGGTGTAGAAGTATGTTCAATCCCCCTTTTTAGGGGGTGTAAGGAGAGTGCGTTACATGAGGTATATTGACTAAACATGCATATTGAGGAGTAATTGGTTACGATTCGACCTTCTGTGGAGTATCTGTGAGAGAATGGATCATTAAGTTCCATGCTGGTACTGCTCCGGGAACTAGTCTTTCCGTGTCCAGTTATGTTTATTTTGCACGAGGCACTACTCTACAGAAAGGTGTAAACGGGTTGTATCGACTGGTCATTTCGGGGACTCAGTATTATTCGTCCTTCTGGGGAGTGACTGAGAGGGAGTGAACTGTTGCACATCATGCTGCAGGGGCATAGCCAAAGGGTGGCACCCCCCCCCCCCCCCCGAAATTTTTCGCCATCCATACGTAGTGCAAAATGACCATTTGCCTGTCCAGCCCCCACTTAAGCCAAGGAGGTGCCCCCCATCCCCCTGACGAAAATTAAAAATTACTGCATACAACCTTGCCATGCGGGTAGTCCTCCATGTACTAATGTAGCCGTAAAGTTTCCTCCACAAGTTACCAGAGGGAAATCTGGCAAACCTGTAATGGTAGCTGCCAGTGGTAGACTACGATAGATTATTTTGAAGCAAGAAAGAAAAATAGGAGGAAAAGAACGGCAGGGAGGTTAACCAGCCATTAGGCAGCCGGTTTGCTACCCTGCGCATGGGAGGGGAGTGGGAGAGATTAAAGGTAAAGGAGAGAGGGATTTTTTTGAAGCAAGTTACTACAATATTGAAGCAAGTTACTACAAGTAACTGCGACACTGTGTTCGCTCAGCTATTAAGGTGTCAGCGATGTCCGAATGAATGTAGTCAAGGCAAGGTTCAAATTTTAAGAAAAACTGTATTGTGCTAAGTTACAGGTGAATCGGCAGTGGTTACATCTATGAGGAAACTGGACTCGGTGCAGGATCTCGATCGGATACGTCCGACGCCACTCGCGTCTCGGCTCGCTCTGCGGTGCGTTGCTCTGCGGTCCCGGCTCGAATCTCGGCTCGTTCTCCCTCTCTGGCGATGCGTTGCTATGCGGTCTCGCTCGAAGGCTCACTTTTTGTTTTTTGAATGTTCGTTGAACCAATGGGCAACCGCGTCGAGTGGACGCGCTCAGGGCTCGGAGTCCACGTTAACGCAGTGCAGCGTTTCCCGAGCAAGCACGGAGACGCTGCCGGAGAAGGAGGCGCTGCCGGAGAATGAAACGCTGCCGGAGAATTCAGCTGTGCGAACTCGAGTGCCGCTGACAAAGGGAATGAGTGGCTGAGAACAAGAATATTGTCTTATTTTCGTGTCTTGGATTTTGAGTTCTTTTTGTGTTGTGCTGCAATTCATTTTTGACAATTTTTCAAGCACAGTACTTTCTTTGAAAATTAAACGACATTGGCCTGTCTTTCTACACTGTCACTACAATATATGTTGAGTTACTAATTTTATGTACTTAATATTTAATTCTTGATTGTTTAGCATCTGACTACGAATATTGGAAACGAAGTGTTTAAGTTTGCTTCGGAAGCGGGCTTTTCTTTACATAGAGCCATACTGCAGAAAAGCCCCATTTACAGGCGTTTCAAACATGTATGTTAAAGTAACTATTAAGAAGCTAAATTTTCTTTAGCTAGAGTTCATTGTGCCTTCAACGAAAAGTACTAGCAATCGGCATATTACGAAATCGAAATCTCACTTTGAGCCTGAGCTCTAACAGCGTGGAATAGACCTAAATTTACGAACTTCAACACATGTCATTTCATCTCGATTGCAACAGAGAATGTTTGTAAGCGATGGAGTGAAGGCGTATGTGAAATGATTTCGGCGTTGTCGGTGTCGTTGACCTGATCGTCAGCACTATTCTCGTGGCATCACAGCATCACGCACAACTGAAAAAATAAAAGGCTTTGTACGCTATTGTGCTTTCCATAAAACGACACCAGTGCAAATGACGCCTTCTTTCAAGCGAGACCAACCGGGAAAATTGCGCCTTGCGAAAAAACTGGGCGGTGGACAGTTTTTCTTT